ACTGAAAGAAATTAAGATTGCAAATCACAGGAATTTACTTGTAAAAAGAATTCTTTAACTAACTTATTCATATGTATTTTACAAATTAAAAAAAAACATTAAATGTAGCCGGCTCTTAATACTAACTTAAGATATCTTTAAGCTTAACATATTTGTATACAAAAACTCTGTTTTAAGCCGATCTGGCCAATGAAATATGATATATGTCATATGCTGTTATATATATATTATAGTAACGGATCTAAATGACTCCGACGTATGTCGGATCTTGGACATAATTTGTATGGCTTAGGACTTTTATTCCTATAATTTCTTGCTGTGTAAGGGATAGACCGTTCGATGAAAACTACTGGGTATCTGGTGACGGCGCCTGCTGTTAAGGGCAGTCAGGGCTACCGATGCCCTCCAATGAGCGACGCCCTGGCGCCTAACCGTGTTGAAAACACAACAAATTAGTCAATGACGCGGCGATCTTATTCCAGCTGGCTCTCAGCTTACCGCACAGACCTCAATGTGAATTTGTATTTTCATTAATATATTATTGCTTAATTTCTTTTGTTATGCTGATTATGCCGACAGACAGTGCTGAATAAACAGGCCCAGGCCAGAGAATGTTTCAAGTCAAGTCGAAGAGATGTTCATGGGAAAAACAGCAACAGCATTGCATGATTTTCAATAATTTAACAGCCGAAACTCGGACGCGTACCGTTTTACCGCTGCCTTTGCTGTCTGAAGGTCTGAATGTTCGACTATGTGGCAGCTTGAAACATATGTTGTGCTTTGTTTCAAGCATAAATGTTAATTTCAGTTTGTCTTGGTAATTTATCATTTTGAAAACATTTCTTTTTTTGTTTTTGTTTTTTGTTTTCGCGTCGCGTCTTTAAACGCCTTTAATTAAAATCAATGCGCATGTGTAACTTTCTTAAACAGAGCCTAAGATTAAAGCGTTCTCTACGGATAGCGAAGCTGAAGTAGAAACTTGAGTCTAGCTGCTCAGTATACAGAGGCGGCTTTGAACTTGGCCGACAGCACGTTTGTAAAATGATTGATGTGGTATTAATTTTAATAAGCGCCTACCCGCTCCATCAAAATACTTATCGGGCCCAGCTCGATAAAAAAAAAACGAACTATGACTTTGGCTCCAGTTCTAGCCCCGTAAAGAACATTTTGTTCTGCGATTTTACATTGTATGACGCACGTAGTCTCGTGGCGTTTACACTTTGTGCTTGTGGCATTATCGAGCCATGCCTTTAAGAAGGTATTTGCTTGTTGCGTCATAAGTAGTGGTGGCACGGGAACGAAGCCAAGTTCTCAACATTTTTATGCCTATTTGGCCGGATGCTTTGAGGGCATTATTGACGTTGCTAAGTCTATCAAAAGTGTTATGCAATTGGCCATGCCATGCAAGATAAAATTTTATTAATTCGAATAACAACGGCAAGCAGTCTTTACTTAAAACTGAATGTCCTGTCTGATGACAGATTGGTGATCAACGCGATGCGCGTAAGAGTTAGGAAGCTGACATTTTACTATCGTTTTGGAAAATTCGCGAAAAAACGGTTGCATGAAATTATGTTGTTTACCATCCGATCGACCTCAATCTCATTTTCAAATTCATTTAAAAGGATCGTTATGAAGATTTAATTGTGATGTATTTTATACTTTTCGCAGAATCCAAGCTGGATAAGAATCTCGGTGGATAATGCGATAAAAAAATTTTTGGGAGCAGCTTAAGATTTTCCGATCGGATTTAAGCTTAATTTCAAAAAATGAATACGTGTTTCAGTGATTTTGAAACTTTCCGCCAAGAACTGTGGAAATTTGTCGGAAAAATTTTAATTTTCTGTCCACCGCTCGTAATAGGAAAATATCGGTCAAAAGATTTATGAACGACCTCAAGGCTAACATGGTTCTTTATTTGATGGATTTCAAACATATTTTTATATATTTATGCAAAATATAACTTAAGGCGTGTAGCTCAAGATAGCCCTAAATGGTTTAAGGCCGGGAATTACGTGAAAAGTCAAACCTAAAATTAAAAGCACAAAGCCAGCCGCGGGCAAGCGGGAAATAACCTCAAAATATAACAAAAATAAAATGTCTACATATGTATGTCCGAAACTACTGATTGGGTCAACATGAAAATTTGATATAAGAAATCAAATACAAATTAAAACTACATGAATTTTGTATTTATACCCCTTATTTATGCCTTACAATTGTTTGTACGAGAAGGAGGCACCACCGACCCCATTCCTGGTCAGCATCAGCAGCGGTGTTTTTCTGTTCATATTCGTCCGCCTGTCTGTTTGTCCCTATTACTACCAGGTCATATTTGCCTCAGAAAATAAGAGCTAGATAATTTGAATTTGGATCCTATGTCCTCCTGTCGCACGCACAGGTAAAGATTAATTCAAATCATCAATAACACGAACTATTTCCACGAAATGGATAAGAAACGATAATCAGTTAAGTTTTTTGAGCAAATCTAGGAGCTAAAAAGGGCTAGAAATACCAAAACTGGTATATGGGTTTATGCTTAGAAATCACATCAAAATTTTTTCACTTTTTGAATACCTCTTCTTGTTTTCACAAAAAGTTCAAATATATATATATACATTGCCAACACATTGTTGAATGCCTTATTTATGCCCTCAAAATTTTATAACATCGTACAATAAACAACAAAGCTATTGGTGAATACATTTCTCACAGAGTGAGGTTGAGGGACAGCTTGCATCAAAAGCGTGTATGTACCACAACTCGCAAAAAATAAAAATATTAAAATTGAGTTGTGTACGTTGAATGTGTATTATATTAGTTCCTGTGTATTAAATGTGGTCATTAATAAATACACAGGAACTAATATAACAAATTCGATTATTTAGGTTTTATATGTATATGCATGTTATAAATTTACTTGTGGGTCTGTATCTTTTCTTGTAGGCATATATTTTTGGTTTTGACATTACCTAAGTTTAGAATTCTGTGTAGAGTGCAGTACGATCAAGGTATTGTTTTATTACGTTTTGGATCAGTCAATCATCATATCAGAGCTGAATTATTATTATTATATATAAGATTCTTAACCTAAGATACGATTAGAGGCATGTTCCGATGTATTTCTGATCGAATATTCCAATATTCGACAAACATTAAAGCTGCGTAGCCATCAAATGGGAAGAGATGCAAATCATATCATTGTCAGATTTACACCTAAGGTATCCCAATTGAGTCCGAATATTTGAGCTCGGAAGCATCCGATACCTAAAAGTTCACATAATTGGTATATATCTTCTACCTGTTTTTGTATCTGTGAAGTGAATATCTACTAAGCCGTAGCGTGAAATGCGTTTGCACACAGACCGCGACGCTTGAACAAGCCGGATCTAATCAATTCAGGATTTGACTTTAACTCAGATTCAGCAGCAGCATTAGATATTTTCCGTTTAATCGTGGAGTCACGTTGATTACAGACAACAAAGAAACCCATGCCAATCATGGGTGACTGAATTTTCCTGTGCATGGGTGTGTGCATGGCACTGTGATTGTTCTTGTACCTGGCACTCTAAATTCTGTCGTGATTTGGCATGGCGCTTAACGTTGTTTGTTTCAATGCATTAGCTTTCTTGCTGATGTCGATACGGGATGGTTGAAAAATTTTGGTTTGTTATTGTTAAGCCTACTGCCGTGTAAGTGGTTGATTTGTCACATACTGGCCTGACAATGTGAATATTAATACACCAATACAAAAGTGTGCATATTGTTTCATGCATACTTATATATTTGACAAATGTTCCATAATAAACAAAAGGAACTATGGAAACTTTAAAGTAAATACATATATAGGTCTGGAATACTATAAAAAATCGTAGTTTTAAAGGTTTTTGTTTTTGATATATCTTTCCCAATTCCAGGTATTAGGAAAAGGTATTTGTTAAATACATACGTGTATGCAAATTATATACGTACGAAATTGAATACATATATTTCTGAGTAGGACAATTTGCTTTCAAAGCTAATGTGAGAATGGCATACAAAATATTAATTTATTTTTGTCAAAAATGTTGTGTCATATAAACACAAATATATTCAGTAAAGTACTTAATATAAGGTGCCGAGTTAGGCGAAGAGAGAATTGAAAAGACACATTACATTACATCACAATAATCACATTAGCCTATTCTATTAAGAATTTCTGCAATTTTTCCGATCTGAGCGTATGGCATTGATATTTGAGCCTACTATCAATTGATTAGATAACGACAATTCCCGTTAGTTTCGTAATTGCTGGTTCGTAGTTTTTAGTATGAGTGATCTAGGTATAGAACTAAAGCATGAGGATCGCTAATTCTGTCATCCTAACTATTAAACTTTTTGTCCCAGAGATTGAAAAAATTATATACTAGCGGGTTTTTGTCAACCCTGCCGGGCCATGTTTTATGCATTCAATATAAGACATCGCATTTCCAAATATTTCTCGTACGTGGGACATTTAAATCTACCCATACTTTCTTAAACTCTACGCCTCAATTTATATTTTATATGCACATTTTAAAATAAGTTTGAAGTCGATCGGAAAAAAAGAAAAACCGCTATTTTCTCACTATCGAGTGCAATTTTTCATTACCTTGTCAATCGGTCAGTCACATAGGCCGTCAAGATATTTATATACTTATATACATCTATACAACACAGAATTTGCACCGGTCAAAATAGTATAGTGTGTACATTAAAATTTTGAGAAAGTATAATTTTTATTCTCCTGCGTAATGCTTAAGTCAGCAACCTTTTTATCAAAAATACATATCCAATAATGAATTTGCTTCGATAATGATCATTTGAGTTCGCCCCTTGAGAAGTGAAGGAATATTTAGTGATCGGACGAGTGCAACATTATTAAATATGGTGGCCAAGGAGCTCGTTAATACTAAGGACGCTTAGATAAAAACTACTACGCCTATAGGAACTTCTCTCTTTCTTCTTGGTTCGGCACTTACCGGATTTACTTGCGGCTTCTGCAAATGTGTCGCTATGTTAGTAATGTTCATGCCCGCCATAGCTGGAATCTGCGAGCCATACAATTGACCGGCGGTCGGTGTCATGTCCGTTAGCATTTTAGCTTCTGCTGCTGCAGTTGCTGCTGCTGCTTCCGTTCTTTTTGTTGGCGTTGTAATTTTGAGGCGTACAGCAATTGTATTTGCTTTTTTTGTTTTTGAAGGCTGGAAACTAGATTATTCCAAACAAAGCACATAAACAAAGTTGCTTCTTAGTAGCTACTAAGCCTTCCTGTTAAAAATGTCGTTAAAACTGCTGCTGCTGTCTAAAGACACTTTCATTAAAAACACAGAAACACGCTTGCTAGTCGCAAACAATAAAAAATATGCAACAAAAAAGATTTTTATAAGGATTCAAACTGCTTAAATGCACTTTTCACTGTTACTTGAGAAGCAGATTATTGTTGCAACTGATGCGGATTTGACTGATAAAAGGATTTTTATGATTTTTATGCTGAAAATACTTCTGCTACTTTCACTGTCACGGGTTCTGTAATTTCACCTCGCTGTTTGATTTGCCAAATTGATTAAGGCGCAAGCGCCAAATTCTTTTGTTTGTCGATTCACAGCTTTCGGCTCAAAGAAAATGGAAGCGATTAGAATATAGTTTTAACTGAAGCAAAACAATAAACCGCGTGGTCCAACTTACAACAGAAAAAACAGAAGTGTTATTCAAATTGACTATGACGCACTGTAAAACTGTATGTGTTTGTAGTTGTTTTTGGTTGTTGTTGTTGATGTTTGCACAGGCGTCGGCGGCGACGTTGGCGAGAAGGAGGCGTCTGCACTAAGAAACAAAATATATCCGCGCAAAAGTTTTTAGCGTCGTCGCTGATCGTTCAAAGGCTTGCAACTGTTTCACGCGATGCCAGCGCAAACAAAAAGCTTGGGCCCATTCCCGTTTTGTCGTTGGCGGCGACTGCTCCGTCTACGTCAAGCGAAGGCGTTGTCGTCGTTCAGCTACAGCAGAGGGCGCGTCAAAACAAGAGAGAGAGAGAGAGAGAGAGCAATTTGCAATTGTTGTATTTGTATATGTTGCTTCTTTAGCTGTGTGCGCTGGCAAACTGAGACAGCGACAACGACTGCAACCAACAAGCAATCCAAACCGCAGCCTTGCTGACGCTACGCTCTCCCGCAGTCAAAGCAGCGACGAGAACAGCAGCAGCCATTCCCATTCATCATGACGCAGTTACACCTAACATTGGCGTAGCTCTTGCGTTTTAGGCGCACAAAAGAGACAGCAATAAACCAAGCCACCACCGAATGCGAGCCAGGGCTATGATGAGCATTACTGGTGCTGGTCCTGTTTCTGGTGCTGGTGCCGGTGCTGTGCCTGATGATGATGTATTAGCTAGCCGGCTAGTAGAGGGCGCCGCTTGTTTTATTTCATGCAGTTCATTCATAAAAGTAAGGAAGCACGCGCTCAAAACGGGTTTCGTTTGGCGACGCCCCGTTGTGTGCGTGCTGTGCGCCGACGCGGTGGTAACGACCAATCCGAATATTGGCTTATGCTATATTTGCCCTAACCTATAATTATAGCAATGGCCGCTGTGCAAGAGAGATGGTTGTACAATCGGCACGCGCTAGCGCACCTTGTCTGTCTGGCGTTACCTTACTCTAGTCCCCTGTATAGGAAAATAAAGAGAGCGCAACTTCTATTAAATCCCTTATTAGCTGCCTGCGGTGACATCGTATCGCGCGCATGCTCCAGAATGTTGCGCATTTTTATCCTATGAATTCCATTCATTTATTTTATCCCTTCATCCGCTGAAAATGGGTGAAAGGTATGTAGCTTTTTGTAGAGCAAACAGTTTCTATCACTTTTTTATAGCTACCCCCAACCCACCAAAAATCAAAAACGCAATATATTTGATATTTTGTTATGATCGGATAAAACCCATAAAAGTTTTATCTGAACAACTGCTATGAGTGCAGGAGCATCAGCAACGTATAAGTTTAGAATGCACGAATTTACATATGTACATATGTATGTGTATGTATCTATTTACAGAAATAATTAATGAATTAAGAAAATTTAATGATGTCTGCAGGGTATCTAATTAACATATGTGAATAGTGCAATGGTATGGTGAAAATGTTTGGGATAAGAATGTCCGTCAAATGTACATATGAATTCACATACTTTTTTAGCATCAACAGCCATGTCCATCTAGCCATGTGCTTCGGCCTGTCTTTCTGTTTGTCCGCCCATTCCTGCGTATTTACCTGTCTAACTTAGAAACTATCAAATCTAGGGGTTTCATATTTGGAGCTTATGCTCATCAATTACTCATCCTGTTTAATTTAAATTGATAGTATTTTTTGTCAGCCTCGGTCTTTTGAATTCATTTTGGAGATTATAATAGCTTAACCACAAATTTGATATGCTTTTATTCGTATAGTATACAGGAATCATGATTTTCTTCTTTGATTCTTTCCCCCGTTCTCCCTGAAATAGAAAAATTGTTTTAGGAGCCTTGCGTTTTGGAATATGTAGAATAATAAAGCCGCGAAAGTGCCAGTTTGCGCGCCAAGGGCACCAAATCTTGCTGGTCGACTACGCCCCTACAAATTCACAAATATATGTTTCCCACAGTCACTATTTTAAAGTAACCGATTTATCGCTACCCAATAATCACGAAGATTCTTTTTTACTGAATTAAATTGTGTACAAAGTCGCAGTCGGGGCAACCGAAGTTCTTGTTTCGCTTTGGATCAATCAAATAAAAAACTGTGATGTTACATTCTACTTCAAAGCCCCGTCTTAGTGAACACACTAATTGAGCACTGTATTGAAGAGTTATCAATTTAATCATTTCGGAACAGTCCTTTTTATATCCTGAATCATTGGAAATTTGTAAAAAGAGTATTCTGGTTTTGTGAAAATGTATGTTACAGTCAGAGTGACCCCTAGCTATGACCGTCTGTATGAACGCGAAAACTACAAAACTACTAAAAGCTCGAAATTTGAAAAAATATACCCATGTTAAGCTAATTATTCTTTATTGATACCTCGTTTAATTTTCATAATATAAAAAAAAATATCGATTTTGAGTTATGGTTTCTTGAGTATAGCTTAAAAAATATGGGAGCTAGATTTACCGAAATTTGGAATGTAAGTTCTGCTATAGTAGACTCAGATATAGAATATATTTTACTTCTTAGGTACCTCTACCCGTTTCCACAAAAAGGATTACTTTGGAGATTTTTTACTTACATTTTGGTGCCATATTTATGCGTTCAAAATTCCATTAGGCAAAAGATATTCCAGAATACATTTGCTTTGATGTGGATAAAAGTGCGCAGCAGCGTTATTATTATATTATTTACTTCAAAATTATCTGTAGGAAAAATGATTAGGCCCTACAAAGAAATCGGCGTATTCTATTCAGATGATAGATGAATTTATTAATCGCATTTTATATACGCACATATGTATATACATATATTTAAGCTGTCACAAGTAATCTAGTGTCAGTGACATGTTTTTATGAACCCTGAACCCATTAAAAATGTTTAAAAGGGATATAATGTATTATGAACGCAAGGATCTGAGAACCTATAAAAGCTAGAGACTTAAAATAGATCCTCCTACTGTACGCGCAGTGCGAGTTTGTTTCCGATAATCGATATCTTGTCCCGTTTCCAAGTAATCGATAAAAATCGAAATCCTGATATTGAGCAAATCTCTTAAGGTTTAAGAGCTAGAGTCACCACACTTGACTTGTAGCTTCTAGAATAGTATATACATACATATCAAGTATCTTACATTCTATAGCTATCGCCACCTCCCCGCTACCACCACATAGCTATAAATCAAGTAAATAGACCAATTTGTATTGCCCACCAATTTAAGACCCAATTTCAACGTAATTAACTTTTTTAGAATATATTAAAGAAAACGTGTGGGTATATATAAGTATATTGGCAGTCCACGTTTCAGCGGCAGCTAGCGCAATGCGCAAGAATTTCTGTATACATGTATGCACATACACACATTCATACGCGTCTCTATTGAATTCTATTACCAGCATTGCAATAGCGATTGTATTGTTTTCTGTGCTGCTATTTTAATTTGTTTTTCTCATTAGGATTAAATTGTTGGTGTGGCTGTTGGGTAGAGGCGGTTGCAAGTAGAGCGGCATGATAAGAGTTCGAGTCCTATTGAGCGGAGTTCTTTTTTGTTTGTTAATTTATTTTTATTACTGCTAAAGAGCGCGTAACGCGAGCTGCACTTGGTTTTGGAAAAAGAGACTTCACGGTATCGCCTAGTCGGGAGCTCCCGATAGCATAGGTTTTTCTACTTATCGACGTGAATAATCCCGAAATACTTTTTGACTAGTTGTTGTTTGTCAAAAAGAGCTAAACGCATGCATATGCTTATAGACGGACTTGTAATTGGGCCACACCCCAAATAGCAGCTGCTGCATTTGAATCAACATTATTGCCTGGACAAACACACAATCAATTGAGTAAAGGGCCTGAAATCACAAGCAAGCCTAAAATGCGCATAGCACATTCCTTCAGAATGAAAGCCTTTTTACCCTCCAAATTAATTTGGCTCGTTCCAGAGATTGTCTGCCGCTCACATCTTTCAACATTGCGGGAGACCTGCAGCAATGGCTGCAGTTTTGCCGTCGGCAGCTGCTGTTTTTGAGTGTCAAACGAGGCCAACACTCTTTCTGCAACAGCACAACAATTGAGGGGTTGTAGGGCTGCGGTCGGTGTCATTAGCTAACTGACAACGAGTTGATAACAGAGATGCCGGTTGTAGCTCTTCAGCATCCATGCCCAATGGACTGAATTGCAGCCCACCCTCAACCCAGTCCCATTGGCGAGCGTTGTAGTTAGTTATCTTTTTTTAAACGAATCAACGTCATGTACTCTTTAAAGTCTATCTCATTTTTCTCTCCCTTAGTCAATTGAAGTCGTCAACGCCATCAGTGGGTGTTTAATTTTTGAAGAGCCTAGCTATTGCTTGCCCGAAGGCCACTACTCAAATTCCATGGCACGCCTCATTATCAAGTAGACTTAAAATTAGTTTGCATCAGCATATAACCGCGTTAGCGAAACCATTATTTTTAAAAAATTTGTTTGGGCCCTTTTAGGGGGTTATATACATATTTCACATAACTTTCGTAATCTCAATCCATTTCAAAAAGGTTTACACCAATGTTATTTCGTCGAATATAGTTAATAGGCCAAACAATTGTTTTAAACATTTTGAAAATTAAGTAAAAGTAACCTTTTCGTTATTAGTGGCCCCACATCTATCAACAATATTGGTTTGATCAAACGCGCTATCAAATAGTTGAATTGTGTTATCAAAGATTTTTGAATATGTCAAGATATTTTTCACACAAGCAGAAACATGAGTATTAAGTTTATCTTAGAATATTCAAGACTATGCCTTAACAAAAAAAAAGTGCGTTCCTCAATAACCATGGTAATATATGGTTGTGTTCTCTTGCTAAGGCCAAGAATAGAAATGTCCCTCTATTCTATACGCCTGGCATGACATTATTTACAATTTTAATATTTCACGTCGCTTGCGTCAGTGGTACTAGCAATTTCTGCTATCGGACTTCAGGCTTAACTTCAACTGAAAGCTGGGCGTGGTCCGCCTGTAACTGGGGAATTCTCCCTTCGATGTTTTCCGCTTTCCTTTATTATGCCTGTCAACAATTATAATGACACTCTTATTGTCAGCCATTTGCGCTTAATTAAACCATTTGCAATTTGCGTAAGTTGATGTGCGCAAAGTTTCCCAATTAAAGAATACCTGGCCAAACCCCTGCCGGCAACACCCGCTTTGGGAGTAATTGGACAATTCACACTTTTAACGAATTTAAAAAAAAAAAATTCCATTTTTAATTGCTCTTATTCTATTAAGTTATTCAAGT